TGTATATGGAAACTGAGAAGAAGTAAAGGCGTGCCGCTAAACCTATTGGGGAAAGCAGCAACTTCGCTATTACTCCCTTAATCGAGAAGCTGCTGCTTACCGCTTTAGGCAATTGCCCCCTGTCCTAGAAGGCTCTAGGCATTCTGTTAACTTCCCACCTATAGTATCTTATCTAGTATAGGGAACAATAGTGCCTGAGGCATTATTACCAAAGCTTTTACTTTATGCCATAGTTAGTTGCTAGTTATCCTAACCTGCTTATGACATATGGGGGATAGGAGTTAGCTATAAGGCTGGATTTCGTCGCCTAGACCAACCCTCATACAGTTCTGCAGGTTAGGGAGAGCTTCGATCGGAAGGCTTATGTGGAAGTCACTGGACGCGCGAGACTATGGCGCTATGCATGCCTTTTGTGCACAGGAGGTTGCAGGGAGGGCATTTGAGGGAGTGGGCGGCCTTCCAACCAGATTTATTTAGAGTTACTTATAGTTACCAACCTAGTTTGGGGCAGAACCCTTAGATCCTTCTTTTCCAATAGGCACCACTACTTTGTTAATGTCTGTTGGTTGCTTGCTGAGCGCGAAGCGCTAAGGTCTTTGGCAGCTGGCTTCCACTCTTCCCAGCTCTCCTCGCTCTCCCGCCCCGTCCGGACATGCCAGACAGACACAGCGTGTTGCCTACTGAAATAGGATCAGGAGTAGAGACCTCAGGCTACGACGGGAGCTCCGAGGTGCGCTTTGCCTCATCGCAGACGACAGCTGTAGACCTTAGCATAATCCACCTGCTTAATAATGATGTTAGCAGACTAAGTTTGCCTGTCTGCGCTATATGCTAGCTTGGTGATATATATGAAATACTGATTCTGAAGCCTGTTTTCAACACTGTTGTGGAGGTACTTAATAGAAGCGGCAACCTGAGCTCTGGGAATAGGTGGGCTGTTCGACCAGCTGAGAATGAGATCTATATCTATTATGTTGTCGCCCTTGATGTCCCTGTTGTTGATGATGTTGCTGTATCTAAAGGACTCTGCTGAGAATATCCCCTTAATGAAATTGATAGTGGTCCCCACAGCATTCTTAACTGTTATTCAGGCAGCCTTTATAGCAGTCTAGACGCCCTTTATAAAGTTGACGATATAGCCTATAACCACCTTTATCTGATCGACTAATATCTGGAATGCATTTATAACCTATTGCTGACTGGCGTCAAATATGTTGAATGCTGACTCTTGCGACGATAGTGGGAGCTGATTGATGATGTCTGCCGCTGCATCATATATAGCGTTAATAGCGGCGACCACCCGCTCTTTCGCAGCGTTCTTCCTCTCCTCCATCTTCTGCTTCCAGACTTATTAGTCTGTTTCCCCCTTTAGATCTTCAGTGTCTGCCTAGTACTGCGTAAAGGCTGTCTTGTTTTCCGTAGCGTTACTGATGTTGAGGTCTTTGAGATCTTCTGCTGCGCTGCTGTCACCGCCCTGGAGGACAAATTCCTGCTTAGTGGGCATATCAGCCTGGGCGCTCAATATATAGCGGATCTGGAAGTAGCTGAAGTCTTCCGTGTTAAGAGCTTGAAGGGCGCAGGCCTTATTGACGTACAGCTGGCGCTTCCAGGCCGGCATAGTGGTGATTTAGGGAGGCATGATGGAGTTAGGGTGGTTATGAAAGCTGTAAAGGGTCTAGGAGAGGGGTAGAGAGGTAGAGGGGCCTTATGTTGACTACTGCAGAAACTCAAGGATCTTTTCCTTTGCACCAGTCTTTATGTGTGAGCAGAGGGGCGTCTTATAGGTCTTATCAGACCTAGTTATCTGGTTACATCCTCATTATAAGTGCTTTAACTAGCTCAGAAGTATTTATTATACGCTGTATAGTCACCTGTATAATGCTAGTGGCTTCTTCACAAGCTATCAGATCACAGCTGGTATGAGGAGGCCTGGGGACTGGTTCAGTCTAGTAGAGAGCATATATATTTATGCCAGGAGCATTAGGATGATGCTTCTAAGCTCTATAAACAGTTCTGCATAGGCTTTTAGTAGCGTTAAAAATGTGGCGAGCATCCTTATGTATTTATCACAGCCCTTTCCACCAACCTAAGCGTATGCTAACTGAGGGAAAGTTTGAAGGCTCTAGGGACAGCTTAGTATGATACACACTGCGCTGGGTCACCTGATGGTTATACACTAAATAGGCTGATAGAGGCGCTTTAGCTGGCACTCTGCTTTCTCAGAGCGGTTGTTTGTCTTTCTCTGAGGCTATAATACGCCTCTATCACAACTTCTATTCTTCTGCCGATATGATGCCCAACTTATTAACGTTAGGTGTTTTAGCGAGCGAAGTATTCTAGCTAGAACGCTGTTATTTGTTCTGTGGCGGTTTATCAGCATGCTACGCCCTGGTTCCAGGGAATGCCTAGGTTGATACCTGGTTGCTTCCCTCACGTAGAGGTGGAGTATCTCAAATCAGCTGGGCCAGACCTATATATCTACTGAGCTAGATGCCGCAGTTGCATTTATCAACCTTAGCTTTCCTACTAGGTCTAAGATTGTTAATAATAAGACGACTGATAAAGAGACAGTTGGAATATCCTACTCAGCTATATCTCACTTTAACAACCCTGATATAGTCCTAAAAATATTAGCTGTATTAAAGGCATGCTTATTTCCTAACAGGGCTAAGGTAACACTTATTAGTAGGTCTATAATATCCTTCCTTATTTGAACTTAGGGTAACATTATTTATAGGCAGCAGATCGGATGATAACCAAATTACAGCTTAGGACGCAAAAGGTGTCACAGGGATTTAGGAGGTCGTTAGGGTGAAGGATACAAAGTAGCAGCAGCTATACAGTTATCGCTAGCCTGCAACGCATATTATATGTTGCAATTTATGCGTCAGGCCGGCTGAGTTAGTATAAATATCTAATCAGATTGCAGAGCGCGCGCAAGACCACAGTTACATAAGTCTTATGAGTGTAAAACGTTGCAGAAATAGTATGAACTAAGATAAGGAGGCCTGCCAGCATAATTAGCAGAGCTTTCAATATATAAGTGTAAGGTCCAGACTTATATACTAGGTAGGCTGCCGCCAGTCTGATACTATGCTCCTATATAACTTAAAGTCCGTCAAAGAGGCTAGTTGAAGCCTAGTGCTTAATAATGCTTCTGCAGCAATCCACCCAGATCCCATCCCAGCTTCTATATACCATGCTAATAAACTCCTCTGGCCTCTTTAAGGCTGTATGTAGACCTTAGAAGGTCTTTAGCAGCTCCCCTGGGGGCTGGAGCTGTAGGTCTGTGTTGTGCAGGCTGTTGCGTTAGCTCTTAGATATAACCCAGCCTAGCTCTCGCAGCATCTGGTTGCTACAACCCTTATGCTCTAGTGCCACGCAAGTTAGCCTCAATCCTTAATATCTGTCTGGACCGCATAATAGTGTTAGTATTGCCTACTAATCTTCTTTGTTATCTCCGCTATATTATATGCCGTCCCACCTAAGCCCTTCGCCCAGGGGAACAAGCCTAGGTAGAGGAACTATATCATCTGCGTAACCATGACGAGGGCCAGTTGGCCTAGGTCTTTTCTCTTGGACGTAACGCTGAACCTATATAAGCCTTGCACTACTTCTGGCGTCTCAGACGACAAGCAGACGGTCAGCATAATTATCAGCATCAGATAGCAGAGCAGGTCGTCAATCTTCTCAGCTAGGCAGTTTATAGCTATTTAGTAGTAGTCCAGCACCTTTATATCCCCCTTGCCTAAGAACGTCGCCTTAGCCTGCTGGAAGCTGGCGAGAATCAGACTGGGGATGTTGGTGAATAGTAAGGGACAGCTGAAGTCGATATGTGGTTGGCATTCCTAGCGCTGCGCCTGGTCCCTCGCCATCCTCTCATGCTTAATCTCCGCCTCCTACGCTGCATGCTGTAGCGATCTAGGGGGGCTGAAGGGCGCCAGCTGCACTGTGGCTTAGCCCCCTAGCCGCACAACGCTTCTCGAAGTGAGCCGGCCGCAGGCAGAATTAGGCACCCACTTAATGCTGGCGGCGAGGAAGCAGCCTGTAATAACAGCAACCTATATCTCTATATCGATCCTATCTGCTAACTTACGACCGTTCATAATAGCGAAGTAAAGTGTGAGCAGCCATATTATATTCTTAGCTGCAAAGGAGTCCCTCCCCTTCTCACTGCTGATAACCCGCAGGAGTTCAGCAACGAAGTCATGCTGTGTGCGCTGCTTTGAGATAGCGATAGCCACATGCTTACTGCTGAGTTGCAACCCCTAATATAGTTGCTATAGCGCCTTCTATATAAACGCATCAGACGCCCCCTCCTACGCCGCCATAGTCGTCTCGCATAAGGCTATATTCTCTATTATGATAGGTCTACCTAGGTCGCCACCGCCCTTATAAAGGCGGCGCCTAAGCTGCTGCATAATGAATATCTTCGTCTGCTGGACCTACAGCTTGCAGACGAGCTCCTCAGCAAACGCAGCAACTGCAGTCTTGCTTGCAAACGCATGCTCGCCCAGCTGTGCAAACCAGACGGCACTCTCCCAACAAGATGCAACTCAGGCGCCATAATAGTGGTGCAGTTCCTAGACGTGCAGAAGCATAGGCTGCCCAGTCCTAGCAGAGTGGGGCCACCAGCCTATATTAATGACAGCCCCACCTAAGCCTAGGGTGCTGAGGCTGACCACAGCTGGGTTGAGGAAGGGCTAACCGCCCGCCTATAAGCTCTCAAGTGTGCTAAGCAGCCTGAGAACCATTCTCAGGAGGTGTTGCAGATATCCTGAGAACATATACCCACCCAGCTGGTTGACAACAGCGACCGCCTTAGAACGCACTAGGTTAAGCCCCTGCTTGCTGCTGAGGACGAACTGACGCTCTATTTCGTTGAGAACAAGCTTAAACAGCCGCAAGTACGCGCACATAATGCGCAGGAAGATCTTAAGTGGCAGCGACCAGAATATATATACAAACGACTTATGCTTAAGAAGGAAGAAGCGTATTATTTAGAAGATAGGCCTGATAACAGTCTTAAACGTCCGCTTAGCGCTAGTTATACGCTGCATATCTAGCGATATAACTTGCTTAAGCCTGAACGCACCCTCCTCAGCCTTAACAGCAATATTAATCTGCTGACGCTCCCTTGCGAAAGGCTTCAACTCATTAGGGCTGCAGATAATGCGTAGCAACCGCTCACGCTTCTCCCTCGCTGCTGACGTCGCTCCAGCATCTGAAGTCGGCATGGTCAGCACCTCTGTTGCATACCCCTTCGTGGCTAACAAGTCATGAGGGCTATGGCGAACGCTTCGCTTGATGTTTGAGTATCCCTGGAAGTAGCTGAATAAGAGGATGTCGGCACCCTCGTTCTGATCGCTTATGTTCCCCTTCATAGCAGCAAAGAGCGAGTTAAGGAATATAGGCAGGCAGTTAGATAACATATTTCTATACACCAGGTAGAACGCTTGCAGGTAGAAAGTGTAGTCGCAGGTGCTTGCAAACTCCCTTATAAGTATGTTTCTATTAGCAAGCAGATAGCGTATCTCTAAACGGTCAGCCTCAGTAGTTCTGTCGCTATTAATATAGACGGCTAGCGCGTATAAGACAGCTGTGATGTTTTCCAGTTGGAACTGCATCTCAAGCTCCAACATAAGCTTCTGAAGTCTGTCATATTTGTCGAATATCTGCTGGTAACTTATGTTATTAATGCTGCCACAACTGCTGCATATGCTTCTGTTTGTATTTACTGCTCCCTCCGCCTCTGCCCTCCTAGGCCTATCATCAGCTATAGACAGCTGTTCAAGCTGGAGCATCTCCTCATTATTGTCGTCGTCGTTAATATTATCTACCCAGCCTCCTCCTATTTCTTCCCCGTCTTCCTCATCCTTACTATCGTCTATAGCGTAGTGCCTCTCCTGCAGCAGGTTGTACAGCTCCTCGCTCACCTTGATCTCAATATTAGCCCTATAGTTATAGGCGTGGAAGGCCAGCTTATGCCTCGCCTAAAACGACGTGGCACCGCTATGTCGCCCCGACCAGGCCGCCCAGCCCTCTATAAACGCCTCCTGGAAAGCTATCCACTAGTTCAAGCTGATTCGTTAGCTCTCCTGACCGCCAGGCCGCCATAACCACTGGATGCCCTCGCTGAGGAGCACCAGGGACTGAAAGACGCTAGTGATATATCAAGCTAGCTTGCAGGCTAATAGCATTAGCATCCTGCTCTTCTCGCCAGCCTGCTCACGCCTCCGTCGGGCGTCTGCGGTTGATAACAGCAGCTCAGATATCTCTCCAGTCACAGGGTGCATAATAATAAACCAGGTCTTATGCGTGGACGCCTGCGCAATTCTAAACGTCCGCCTAGTGATGTCGAAGGGGATCCTGCTGACATGCTTCGCCCTATATAGCGCTGACCACTGCTGGAAGGATATAGTAATATTGTCAAAAATTAGCCTGCTATATCTTGATATCAGCCAGCCTAGCTTGCTGATAACGCTGAAGAAGTCAAGATAAAACTGCGGGAAGAACCTATCTGACGGCCTCGCCTGGGTACACCCCACCCTGCGCGACCTGAAATCAATAGTATGCTTCTCCTATATTATTTTGAGTGCGTCTATGGACTTAAAGTCCTTTACTAGCACTCTCTGAATAAAGCGAGCTGCTGTTTCAATAATGCTTGCATATTAAGCATAAGTCAGCTATATACCTGATTATCAAGTTCAGCATCCCAGTTTGGACATGCTCACCTTAGAGGCGATAGTGACCAGTGGAGTGATCGATCGCCCACTGCTGCGTCTCCCTGCTTATACCTCTCGCGCCCCTATCCTCCCCTTCGTTATCTTTGTCTTCGCTCAGCTATATATCGCTAGGCATGTATATTGCATCCTCATTAAGGTTATCGCGAAGTTCCTCGTTCGCTAATAAGTGGACGGACATCTTAGGGGTGCTAACGCTACTCTACTGCTATGCTGAGTTATATCTGCTTACTTCCACAGTTAGCACTTATTATCATCACTTAACGCCCTGAGGGCATCTGATTATTTATATCTATGCGAAGCTGTTTATTTGCAACACCTATTTCTTCTATGAATTTAGGTATATTACGATAAGACATTATATTCGCCCCTCTCCTGTTGCCCACCTCCCATGAGATGCTGTATGCGCTAATAGGTATAAGCCGTCTACGCCTGTCGGAGAGGAAGGGGACGAACAACAGAAAGCCCTGCAGGGCTTCTCAGGGGTCTTATTTCTCTGTGGTTATACGTTCCAAAGAAGATGATTTGCATTTTCTAGCTTATTTCTAGCGTATTATAATAGCTGTAGACATAACACTAGAGGTGAGGTACAGCAAACAAAAACAAATAGAAACAGATAGAAAGAATATTATAGATATAAAAGCAAGACATAACTATAGTACTAACTGGAATAGCTCTTATATAAGTATATATAACTTTATAACAGACTAGGTCCACAGCATAGTGATATAGGCCTAGGACCTACCCTTAAGTCACACCTCCTAACTGCTTCTGAGAAATCATTTTCTTCTCGCCTGCAGGCCTGTCTTCTAATGCAGCGTCGGTTTAGAGGTAAGGGTTAGTGTTGTTTTTAGGGGACCTGCTGTTGGAGTTGCAGCTGTTGCTTGCTGTTGCCTGCCACCTGCTGGTTGGCGCGGAGAACCTTTAGACCAAGACAGGTTGTCCTCAGGCGGGGAAGTCTCTAGGCTGCTAGAAGCAATTCCTCATGCCTCTCTCGCGCTGGCGTCTTAAGCAGGCCTCCGCCTCTATGCTGATAGTGGTAGGCTGAGGTCTCAGGAAGCTGATTCTGGTCTATGCAGCCTGCAGCTATTATCGTCGTCGTTATTATTATTGCTGTTGCTGTCGTTATCCCCTCTGTTATTATCTTCATCACTATTAGCAGGATGATGCTGAAGTGGTTTGTTTGATAAGACTACGCTGGCCAGGATGATTCCTTGCAGCTTGCTTACAGATGCTGCTAGGACCTTTTCGATCTGCTGCTAGAGGGTGAGAAGTATAGTGTCCTTCTTTCGTATTAGCTGATCGCTCAGCCGGATGAGATTAGAGCAGAAAGCAGATATAAGCGTTGACACCTAAGCTTCGCAAAGGTATCCCTTATTAGCGTTCACTGTTTCCTATGCAGGCTGGAGGATATATATCCTATCTTAAGGGTTAACAGTATGCTGGACAACTTATAGGAGGCGTGCCTATAATGCGTCCTTAAACTGCTTCCTATATGTTAGGTTGTTAACGTGGGTGATTAGGCTGGCGAGGAGGGACTATGCCTCTGGTGTCTAGAAGACTTTGGCGTTATATCAGGCAAAGTCTAGGACTTACTGCTGGAGACGCTATACTGTGTTCGCAGGAAAGCCACTCAAGTCGCCCCTGGACGAGCTGAGGCTGTCAAGGGCGTCTTGCAGATGCTCCAGCAGCTGCAGCTTATTCTTCAACTTAGGGTTCACACTTTCGATTTCAACTGCGCTTGCGCGGTCTACCCAGCTAATAACATGCTGTAGAGCTCAGACGGCTGCCTCTATCTCCAGCCTCCTGTTACATAGGAGCCGCTTTAAGTCTGCAAAGTGAAGATCCATCCTGTTCCACACAGCCTGGCATACCGCCCTATATATAGCATCGTCTAGGGTGTCCAGTAGGCCAGCTATATAGCGGTCACTATTGCTGGTGAAGAAGATAGCCTCAACCACATCTTATATGGTTGATATCCTGCCTGCAGCCGTCCTGCTGGTCTCCTTGCCACCTTATAGCCTGGATGCTAGACGACTCTAATCATCCAGTCTGAGATCCTACGTCTTATCGAGGGGCAGGGCCTTAAGCGTGGCCAGCATAGTCCTCATCGTCGCAAACCAGTAGTCGTCAATCTGAAGGGCGGCTATCCACTCGAAGGTGGAGATATTAAAGGTCTCAAGCCCCAGATAGGTCTGGCATTAGCGCGTTGTTATTTCCCTCCACCCTTTGTGGTTCTAAAGCGTGACGAGCTGGCGTGTAGGAAAACTCTTCTCGCTGCTGAGACGGAGAGCCTCAATAAGCCTATAGTTAACAGTCACTCAGCTCCCTGTGATAGACCCTGCTGCTACTGATGCGATTAACACCAGATGGTTCCAGATCTGCCTATGATTATCTGGAAGGCTTAGGTCTCTGCAGTTAACACGCAGTTTGATGTTGAGGTCTGCAGGGAGATGATCTGTAGGGTTATCAACACTCTTGCGTTCCTGCTGATGTTGAGGCTGAACGAGGCTCACCTTTATTATATAGCTCACACGTCCACTAGGCATCAGACTCTGGCGCGCCTGTTGCCTTAATATACTGTTAGAGGGCGTAAAGCTGGTGCTATCCCGCTATAACCTCCACCTTAGTCTTATTAACGGAGGACCAGTCGAGGAAGTTTGCTTTGCTGTCGCTGTTGCTGTCGCTATCGTCTCAGGCGGCAGTGTCGCCACCATCTGTTCTCCGCTGGATCTGATGAACTTTGTCAGCGCCACAGAGGACGAACAGATGGTTCTCTGGAGCACCACGTTTAAGGCCGCCCTTTATGAAGACCTCTGTCAGCTCCTAAATGTGGCCTGGCTTGACGCAGCGGTTCCTGCTGGTGCTCTATATTATATCTATTACGTTAACGTGCAGCTTACTAACAGCTAATAGGTAGGGCTTTGCATGCTCCTAGATCGACTTGCTTTCCCAGAAGGGCATATGCTTCGTTAAGCAGCATTTCAGGGCCGACTACGCCGCACCGCCGTTTTCGCTGCCGCCTTTCCGTTTCATCCTAACTGCTATGCTGGCTATGTCGAAGCTTAGCGTCTTTCGTTTTGTTACTTTTTGTTTATCTGCAACTGCAAATAAGCAAGTGAGGAGAGAGAAGTATATAGAGCGCAGCTAATTAAGTTTTCACATTCTAGGGTTGTCTTTATGTCGCTCTGTCCTAATAGTTAACTCTTGCATTCTGAGGGCGTTAGGAATGTTATAGGTAGCTATGCTGTCTTTTGTATCTGCATCTTTCTTAAACCTCCCTTCTATACCTTGTCAGAGAAGAAGGAGAGGAGCTGCCACACCTCTCATATTCCTATATAACCCCACCTGTTCCACAAGCTGCTTTTCGTCTTAAAGCTGTATGCTTATATATATGCCTTTCTAATACGCCCACCTGTTCTGTTATACATATATACTACTCTACTACTAGATCTATATCTCTGCTATCTCAGCATAATCTTAATATCTGGGCTATTACCCCTTCTGGTTTCAGTCATATCAAAAGAGCATCCTAATAACCTCATACATCTTCTCTATATTCTCTAAGGCTTCTCTATGTTTGTTACGATTATATCGATTAGGGATGTTGATCCCCCCGTAGGAGCGAATAGGAGCGAACGTTCTCACATGCGAAGGCAACCCTAGTTTCTCTGTTGCTACTCCCCTATAACTTATGCTACTGATATAAGAGTATCAACTAAGCCCCTGGAGGCTTCTGAAGGCACTGCTAGCCGGCTGCTACTGATGTCTCAGCATCTTCTGGTCTTCTGATTGATTGCAGCTCTATCTTCTTACTAACATACTCAAGGCCAGCCTGGCCTGCAGATCTCCTAAAGCATAACATACTGTTACTCCCTGCTGCTCTACCTCTGTTCATGAGGGATCACATCCTTCTTATCTGCGTAGAGTGCTGTTCATCATCCTCGCTGGTTTTGATTAGCTATATATATTAGGTATTATCCCTTGATGCTATGCTGTGATTAGCGATAACGCATAATGCTGTGCCTCTCTGCCTGCCTCAAGTGCTATGCTGGTGTAATAAGTTTATCGAGCGATAGTAATCATACTGAGCTTAGTCCTGCTGGACGGAAGCGTTTTAAAGGGACTTTGCAGATATACGTTTGAAACTTAGGTGTTATATATATGATTATAGCTGCTGTTACATATAAGATGGTTCTGGATATATCGGATATATTCCTTAGTTCGTAAGTGTTCAGCTGTCTTATACTCAGCATCTATAACGCGTGACGGCGTATTGATGTTTCCAAAATGTTGGCTTGTTAACGCATCAGGTAGCTAGTTGTGGTATTTACATCTTAGGGTTTCATAATGAAGATGTGAAGAAAAGCAGGCAGAAAATTCACTGCCGCCTCTTGGCTGTGCCTATACCCACTTTACTGTTCTAATACTAATATAGACAGGTAGGAATATACGTCCATAGGTCTTTTGTTATCTCTTTCCCACGTCTAGCAGCCTTATTACTAAATCTCACCTATAGACCTCGCTCATGCTCTGATAGCATTAAGCTGCATAGCATACATCGATATATACCTGCAGCAGTTACATAATCGGAGGGCTTAGGTAATGTGAAGAAGGGATGGATGAGATAACAGCAGAAGCCTGACAAGGGGTACCTAGCTATTTGTTTCCAGCTACGCCTCACATCCTATATAACGCTCTTGCTCTCCAGCCAGTAGCTGCAGGATATAAGGCTGTCTATCTATATCTTATTATCGCCTCTTCCCTGACTGCTTTAAACGCCCTTTAGCCTATTTTGCCTATGATGAGATATACACTGGAGATACTATCCGTACTATATCAACCACTTTATAGGTTGTAGCCCTAATAGTGCCTATTTAGGGTCTTCAGACTCAGGTGTAGGTGCTGATGTCGCCTGTCAACTGACGGAAAGCCCCCTCCTTCTCGTCGAGGGGGTAACACGCTCAGCGCCTGCCAGCTAGCTCTATTTGCCCTATTATTTGCATTCTAATGCTCCTTTGCTTACGTTATTCAGTATATCTTTAGAATTTATTGTAAGCAGCTGTTAAGTTGAGGATATATATAGATCGGACGGATTCTTCTTGTTCTCCTTTTTCCTTTCTATGTCATACTGCCCCTCAGTCTTATACTTCTTCTTCTGCCTTTCTGATCCTATATATATTTACCTATATTTATTAGCAGGCTAGTTTCTCCTATAGACTACTACTACTACTACTACTTCCCTCCTATATAGCTGCCACTCCTGCTACAACACAGCTATTACGCTGTGATCAGCCCTGTCCAGTAAGTTCTGTGCGGTCCTTCGTCTTTCTTTAGTCGTTTGCTTGGGAAAGGATTTTCTATTCCGGAGAAAGGCATAGCGGGTCTTCTCCATCTGCTGTAGAGGTATATTGGTTAGTGCTGCTGCCGCTGACGCATGCTCGGAAGGATAGAAAGCCCTGCGGGGCTTCCTAAGCTATGCTGCGAGGAAGCCCCGCGGGGCTTCTTATTCTATGCTATAACGTAAGCTATTATGGATCATTATATAGGAAGCCCCGCGGGGCTTCCTAAGCTATGCCTTTGAGGTAATTTCTGCTGACTGATAATATATGATAATATAGGAAGCCCTGCAGCGCTTCCTAAAGGATGCTGATTTGGAAACCTTCCCAGCCCGTTGGCGAGCTTACTAGAGAAAGCCCCGCGGGGCTTCTTATTCTGTGCCGTAACGTAAGCTGTTTTGATCATCATAGGAAGCCCCGCAGGGCATATTATAAAGGATAACCACAGGCCTATATCAGCTTACCGGCAAACTCCTCATACAGAGACAGAGAAGCCCCGCGGGGCTTGTTAAGCTGCTGGTGACTGAGCTACAGTAGCTACTGTGTGTAAGCTACACTACTACTACCTACTTGTTACGGTCAGCTATCCGACAGTAGGGTCTGCTAACAGAAGCTGGAGATTGAGACGTAATAACAGTACACTTAGTCGTGGTCTGGGTTATAGGTTGTAGGTTAACAGTAGATCAGATCTTCAGAGGCTAAGGTGATCAGTCTTAGACTCAACAAGTAATTCGCAGTGAAGGTAAGCTGAGAGTATCCTGAGGATGAATACTAAGTTGATTGCTGAAGAGCTATAGAAGTCTGACCATAAGCCAGGCTCAGGTCATACTATATATAAGTTCTGCACAGTATCTCTTATGGTGGCTATATAGGATATCTGTGCTATCCAACATATCCATGGATAGCTGGGATAGCAGACATATCCAACATATCCATCTTTGCCCTATATCTATGCTGTTCCCGAAGTCACATGACCTGTACCATAGTTCTTCCTTTCCCGATGGTTCCTGGTTACACCTGTGTTACTGCTTACATATGTTCTATATTAGCCGCCAAGATGCCAGGCGGGGCTATTCTAACGTGTTATGCCTATTAGGTCGTAACATCAGGTCTCCTCTCTAAAGGTCTTATCCTCAAGACCTAGCATAAGTAGGTCGTTAGTCCTAGGTTGGGGATCTATCAATCGTGCTTTCTGATTTACCTATGATGCTGACACTATGTCAGGTTGCGTTCAAAAACAAAAGGCTGTGTCGTCGCCTGATAGTCGTCCTGCTAAAAAGACAGTTAAAAAGAATTCTTTACTTTCCGCCATTCTTCAGCGTTCTGTCGTTATGCCTGTTTGCTCGTCTTGCGAGCGTTGCAGCTTCTCGTCGTGTGAGGTTTCTCCCTTAGATTCTTCTCGTTATGCTGAATGCGTTCACAGCAGTAAATCCTACTGTGACCTCCAAGGTCTTTCTGCGCAACAACTCCAGCGTATCAGGGATCAACACTAAAAACTTAAGGATGCCTTGGAACAGGCTGAGGAGGAACGTTATGCTCTAGACGCTAAGGTTGAGCGTCTTTGCAAACAGAAGAAGATGTGGTTTGAGAAGATGATGCGTGCGGTGCGTCGTGGTATTGATAGTGTGGAGGAGCTGGAGCGGGTGGAACGGGAGGAGGCAGAGGCGGAGCAGCGTCGGCGGGAGGAGGCGCGTCCTTCTTCTGCTGGTTCTATCTTCCTGTGGATTTTGTCGGAGATTAGGATATGGTTTGTCCTGATGTGGCTTTATCTCCTTCCTTGTTGGCTGAGTTTGGGTTACTTAACTCTGTTCCCGTTGTTGCAGAACAGGGTTCTCTGGGGGTGTCCTCGGGAAGCAGTTCTTAGTTAGTTTCTAGTGTTCCTAGGCGAATAAATAGTTTTCCTTATTGCGGTCGATCTGCTTTAGTGGGTGGTTTGGTGAAGTAATATAGGTGCTTGATTTGCTTATATCTAGCGTTCTTCTGGACTAGTATAACAGGTGCTAGTGTGACTTCTTATTCTTAGTGTTATTGCCAGTAGATCGTAAGTTCTTCTGCTGCGTTAGTGATGTTTTTGGCTGGTTCCTATATGTTGTCTTTATGTCTGTATCCTTTCTATTTGATGAGGTATTAATACCCTTCTGGCTCCTTGAGGTGGTCTATAATTCGTTCTACTTCATACTCTGGTTCATTATCTTCCATAATAATAAGGTCGTCCGTTTGTGAACCTCGTGGGGCTGGTTTGAGTAGTGAGATATGAAATACTAGGTGACACTTCATGGTTCCCAGGAGTTTGAGTTCATAATTAACTGGTGAGATTACTCGTGAGATTTTAAAGGGTCTGAGTTTTTTATAGTTAAGTTTGTCGCTTGGTCGTTTTGTTTTGATGTTTCGCCGTATGAGGTAGGCGCTATCTCCCTCTTTTAAGGTTGGTCCCTTAATCCTTTGTTTGTTGCTAAACTTAGTCATTCTTTATCGTACGAATTTGAGTTCCTGTTATGCATTTTTCTGGATATCCTTGATCTGTCGTACTGAGGCGACAGCTTTTACTGCGGCTAGGCCTGCTCAGGGTTCTCTATAGGCGGTTGGCTCGAATCTATAGTTGAGGTAGAAGGGGGATTCCTTGGTGCTTTCTCTAATTGCGCTGTTATAGGCGAATTAGGCTATTAGTAGCATTATAACCTAATTATCTTAGTTGTAGTTAACATAGGCGCAGAGGTAGGTTTTAAGGATTTAGTTGATTCGTTCTGTTTGTCCGTCGGTCTGCAGGTGGAACGCAGTGGATATTAACTGCTTAATGCTGAGGTGTGATATAATTGATTTCCAGAAATTCAATATGAAGATCTTATCTCTGTCTGACATAATTTCCTTAGGTGTTCTGTGGTTAGAGATGATATACTTGAGGAATATGTAGGCGTATTCTTCAGCATTGCTTGCTTCCTTATATAGGATCAAGTAGGCATACTTTGTGAGTCGGTCTATAATAATGAGAATACTGTCAAAGTGTACTCCCGTAAGGGGCTCTCGTGACTTCAGTAGTTTGACGATAAAGTCGAGGGATATGGATTGCTAGGCGGTTTGCAGCATAGGCAAAGGTTGTAGCATACCATAAGGTTGATATCTAGCGGGTTTGCTTTTGAGGCAGACCTCATAATCCTTAATCGCTTTTGCCACACGTTCTCTAGTGACCTTTTCTCTATATTGTTGTCGTAGTTGTTTCTAGGTTTTCATGATACCTTGGTGACTGTGTGCAGGGCGAGCATGAAATTCTATGATAGCTTTATCGTCTAGTTCGCTAGTCAGGCTAGTACTAGACCGCCCAGCTATTATTAAGAGTTTGGTTGCTAGCATGAGGTCTCTGTTGTTGTTTCCTTTGAGAATTACCTAGGTTTCTTCAGGTACTAGGATGTTGTAGTCCAGCCTTCAGCTAAGAGCGTCAGCTCTGCTATTGTCTGATCCTTTGCGGTGGATAATTTGGAAGTTAAATTCTGATAAGAATTCTAACTATCTAATCTGTCTTTTATTCAACACTTTTGAAGTCGTGAAGTGTGAAAGGTTCTTATGATCTGAATACATAAGTACTTCGTGGGTGGTTCCTGAGAGCTCAGGTCTCTATTCCTTAAAGGCTTCAATAATTGCCATGAGTTCCTTATTGTGGATCTGATAGTTGAGTTCGGGTCTGTAGAGCTTGCGAGAGAAGAAGGCGCACAGATGTAGTCATCCTTCTGAGTCTCATTAAGATAGTTGCGCTCCAATTGCATAGTCGGATGCGTTAGGTTCTACTTCAAACTGCTTTGTTAGATCTGGGATGACTAAGACAGGTTCACTAGCGATGAGGTCCTTGATCTTCTGGAACGCTGTTTGTTGTGGTTCTTCCCATATAAAGGGCGTGTCTTTGCAGCTGAGGTTTGTGAGGGCTGCGTTGATCTTGCCATAGTCTTTAATGAATTTGCAGTAGAAGTTAACGAAACCTAGAAATCCTTAGACTTCCTTGAGGTTGTTAGGTACCAGCTATTCCTTGATAGCTTTGACTTTGTTTTCTAACATACAGACTTTTCTAGGGGTGATAGTGAATCTGAGGTATTCCACCCTCTGTGTGTGGAATTTGCTTTTCTCAGGTTTAACTAATAGCTTAGCTTCTTAGAGGGCTTATAACGTCCCGCACCCACTTTCCGGACACCCCCTCATTCCGGACACCTAAAAATGCCTCAATAAAATCTTTCTCTTACAACTTTGATCCTGAATAGCTTCACCACCTTAATCTCACTTATTTCCATCTTTATCTAACATCTTCTTCTAGACCATATGAGTCAATATACAGAGTATGAGATTAATCAGGCTCTTAATGCGATCTCTAATGGGCTTAGCGTGCGAAAAGCTGCATTGCAGTATGGGGTCCCAAAGTCTACTCTTTATGATCGTATCCAAGGCACCCAATCAAGAGATATTGCCTTCTCAGATCTACAGAGGCTCTCTCCAACCCAAGAAAGCCATTTGGCTGAATGGATTCGAATCCAGGCTGCCCTAGGCCTACCACCAACCCATCAACAACTCAAGGAATTCGCTGAGCGTATCCTACAGATCCATGGAGACGCCAAGCCTCTAGGGAAGAACTGGGTTCAAGCTTTTATCAAGAGAAACCCATCTGTAAGGGTCCAGAGAAGCAGAGCAATTGATTCCCAGCGCATCAACGGAGCCTCAACTAATGTCATCAGGCAATGGTTCAAGCACCTCGCCATCCCTGAGATCATAGCCATTAAAGCCTCCAATCGATACAATATGGATGAGTCTGGTATTCTGGAAGGCAGAGGATCAAATGGGCTTGTTCTTGGATCATCAGAAACTCGTTCTATCCGCAAGAAACAGCCTGGATCGCGTGCTTGGACATCTCTGATTGAGTGTATCTCTGCAACTGGCAAGGCACTGCCTCCACTTGTTATATATAAGGGCAAGAGTGTCCAGCAGCAGTGGTTTCCTCTAGATCTGACGCCATACGAATCCTGGAAGTTCACAGCAACAGAAAACGGGTGGACTTCAGACTCTACAGCTGTTAAGTGGTTGACAGCACTTCCCTCCTACACACCACCCCACCGGCACCCACTGTTAGTGCCGCGCTGAGCTCGTCACCCTACCACTAACACCACCAAATCCACCCCTACAACCTACTCTCGCCCGCGATGGCCTCAGAGCCAGCCGCGGGCGCCTCGCAGGGCCCTAACGGCCTCCTATCCTCTATGCATAACCTGCCGAAGACCCCTCCCCCCCTTACCTCCCTACCCCCGCGTCCGAGGGGCCTCACGCCCCCCCCTATCCGGCCCCTTGGAGGAGGGCCACAATCGGCCACTGCCGCTCTTCAGCAAGCCCGGGAAGGTCGGGCCCTCCGAGATGAGGCCCTGGACCTCCTCGCAAAAGGCCTAGATGCCCTCATTGGGACGGCTCCAGCACGTCTGAAGGCTACAGCCCAGGACCTTATCGACTCTTTTGCCAGATTTGCAACCACAGAAACTTCTGGACCCACCCCTACCAGCCCCGGAAAAACGTACGCCCTGGCCGCCGGAGGCTCCACTAAAGGTGGATCCCTCTCCGGCCCCAGCCCCGGCCCCGGCCCCCGGCCGAGCCGAACAACAGGCCGGCAGGCCACCAACTACGCAAACAAGCCAAAACAGACCCAGGATCTCCGCCTACTGGTTAGGCTTCCTGCCGAACATATCCCTACCTCCAGAACCCTAGCCCCTCACTCAGTAAAAATGGTAGTTACAAAAGAGCTCAACCTACAACCACAAGACCTAGTTGAGGTTCGCCATACTGCTACTGGCTTCTCGCTGAGGCCCCAGAACAAAGAGATATAAGCCCTACTCCTTCAGAGGGCCCCTGAGATTAAGAACTGTCTCACAGCTGAGAAGGTAGAAGTGCCTACAAGATGGTACCAGTATTCCATCCCTTTTTGCCCCCTATACTTCACAAGCCTAGATGGAAGTAGGATGGGTATTGAATCTGAAATAGAGGAAGAGGTCTTCCTACAGACAAAGCAAAGACTCCTCTCCTGGCGCCCAACCCGAGATAGCCCTGACCTAGCCACAGCTACGCAAAGCCTGATTATTGCCCTCCCCCAGGGAGTTAAGGAAGGCTTCCGCCTGTTCGGCCAGTCAGGCCCAGCTCGTCTGCTCCCCCCTAGGAAACAGGTCCCTAAACGACACTCCTCTGGCTGCCAGGGCTTCCACTCAAACCGCTACTGCACCCGGCAACCCCTCTGTGAGAACTGCAGTATGCCCTTAGATTCGCATGAGGATAGGATCTGCCTAGCCAGGTCTAAGTGTGCTAACTGCTATGGGCCCTTCCCAGCAAGCCATGCCAACTGCCCAGCCAGACCGCTACTAGTTAATGGAAAACTTGTTATACCTACCTATAAGGAACTGCGAGGGATCCGGAAGGTTGGTGGCAAGGCCTCAGATGACCTCCTAGCTAGCCAGGCCTGCTCCTTAGGCAGCACACAGCAAGCAGAGGCCAGGCTGGGCACTACATCTAAGCGCCCTCGACCCCTCACACCTACACAAGACTCAATTGTTGTTGCAGATACTGCTAGCATAGCTGGAAGCAGCAATAGTATGGATGAGGATGAGGCTGAAGACTCTGAAGCCCTCCCCCTTACCAACCGCCCTATCTGCCCGCTTCCAAGCAGTAGCAGAAGCCAGAGGGTAATACAGAAGCCTGACTACAACGTTATTAATGCCTATACCCACCTCGATCTCGACTCAGAGCCGTAGGCTCAAAATGGCTACCCCACGGGTACTACGGGTCGCCCAGTGTAACGTGGGGAAGATCAGCCCAGCTCATACAGCTCTCCTAGAGCTCTGCTGGGCAGATCAGATCGATATAGTACTGATCCAGGAGCCCTGGATAGGCTATAGAGATAAGATGCAAATCAACACACACCCAGGCTATAACTCTTACGTACCAGTTGACTTCTGGAACAGCAGGGACATAAGGCCTAGGGTTATGACCTACACACACAAAAGTCTAAGGTTACAAATACAGCAGCAAAGACCTACCCTATCAAGGGATATCCTATGGATCAAAGCGGGCGACATTACTATTGCAAACGTCTATAGACCACCAGGTGAACCCACAAACCACACAACAAATACCCTCCTAAGCTATCAACCGCCGGAGAGAGCCCTTATTGCTGGGGATCTCAATGCTCGCCACTCCTCCTGGGAACCTGGCTCCCAAAGCTGGAACCGAGGGGACGATATTGCAGAGTGGGCTGAAGGCTGTAATCTTAACTTTATTGGGGTAGCTGGGGCTCCAACCCATACCCATGGGCATATACTCGACCTCAGCTTCTCAAATATCCCCTTTACAGAGGCCTGCATCAGCCCACACCTACATCCAGGGGCTGATCACCAAGCTATTATAACGACCATACCTATAAGCAAAACCCAGGACTTGAGGTGTCAGACTAGCCACCCTGTGGTCTCAGACTCATCCCTACTCCGGCTAGCCGACCTAGTGAAAGTAGGGATCCTAGCCCTGCCTACCTTAGGGGATACACCTACTTCAGCAGAAATAGACTCCCTAGCTACCCAACTAGTCAGCCTCCTCTCTACAGCTATCCAGGCTGTAGGGAAGAGACGGACTAACCAGGGCAGGGGAGCCCCCTGGTGGACAGAGGAGTGCTTAGAGGCCCACCAAGCAGCTATTGAGGCTAGGCGTCAGCAAGCCCAAGAACCTGGGCTAATAATACCACCGCCCATCCTAGAGGAGCAGAAGGCCTTTCTGACCACAGTCAGGAAGGCAAAACGCGCCTATTGGGCTGCTAAGATTGAGGAGGCTGGGTCTAACCAGAACTTATATCAGATACTTAGCTGGCGTAAGTCTGGTCTAGCTGTTAAAGCCCCACCTCTATTGGTAGATGGACAGGCTTTTAACAACAGCTATGATAAAGCCCAAGCCTTACGGAAGGCCCTACTAGAGAGATTTAACGCTACAGACGACTTCTATGGGAACCCATTTGCTATTCCTATAGTTCCAAGGCGTCTAATACCCTGGCAGCAGATAGTCAACATTGAGGAAGTACGCCAGGCAACTCTCACAAAGGCTACAACCCCTGGGATTAATGGGATTACTACAAAGTTACTACAATCCATTTGGGGCCTGATAGGTGTTCCTATACAGCAGCTCTTTCAGGCCTGCGTTCAGATAGGCTACTTCCCTAGGACCTTCCGCAAAGCAGAGGTAGTTATGATCCAGAAGCCGGGAAAAGCAGACCTCTCAAAGGCTGGATCCTGGCGCCCAATAGCCCTCTTATCCTGCCTAGGCAAGGGCTTAGAGCGGCTGATAGCAAAGAGGATGGCATATCTCACCATTCTGGAAGGAGTTGCTAGCCCACAGCAGGTTGGGGCATTACCAGGGAGGGCTGCAGTCGACCTGACAACCTGTCTAACCCATGAGATCGAAAGAGCTCTAGACTCAGGGCTTACTGCAACTCTAGCGACAATGGATGTCAAGGGGGCGTTTGATTCTGTCCTACGAAATCGACTTACTATTAGGCTACGACAGCAGGGCTGGCCTAGTAGTCTGATTAGACTGATCTTCAACTTCACCTCTTGCCGCACAGCCTGGGTAAGGTTAGAGGATACTACCACAGAGGACTTCCCTTTATCCTGCGGACTGCCGCAAGGCTCGCCACTATCACCTATCCTTTTTCTGCTATATATAGCCGATATCCTAGCTGACGATCAGAAGCTACGGTTTAGCTATGCAGACGATATAGGCCTGCTGGCTACTGGCCCTTCCCTGGAGGGAAACACTGCAGCCCTTAGCCAGGAGATAACTCAGATCCTAGACTGGGGCACTGATAATAAGGTTACATTTGACCCGGCTAAATGTGAAGCAATCCACTTTAGCAGGAAACACAACCAGTCAAATAACCTACTAGATATATAGGCAAGGGACCTAACTATTAAGGCCTCAACTAAGCCTGTACGATAGCTAGGGGTCTGGTTTGATAGGAAACTCACCTTCCGGCACTATGTTGATACAAAGGTAGCGGCAGCAAAGAAGGTAGCCCAGTTCCTACAGCACCTATCAAACACAAAAGGAGGGCTCCCAGCAGCTGCAGCACGCCAAGCTGTTATTGCCTGTGTCCTTCCTACAGTCCTATACGGAGCTGAGACCTGGTATGCAGGCTTAAGTAAGCCAGCTAGGAACAGCAGCACCACTGCAGTTAGCAGCAGCACCACTAACCAGGTAACTACTGTCAGTACGAGGCAGAAGGGCCTGGTTAGGAGTGTTAGAAAGGTTATCACAGCAGCAGCAAGGGCTATCCTGCCTGTCTGGAGGACTACACCAACCAGCAGCCTCCTCCGAGATGCTGGCCTGCCTACAGCAAAAGTAGCCCTTGAGGCAGCACGCCTACGCTTTGCCACACGCCTACAGAAGGTTGACCAACACAACCCCTTAGTCCCTAGGCTTCCACAGCTAGGGCGGCAGGAAACAAGGCTTCAAAGAACAGCAGCCCTCCTACCTAAGTGCCCAAGGCCGATGCTCCTACAGCCACAGCACCTCTCAGGATCAAAAGACCCTACAGCTGGCCAGGATAAGGAGAAGGCAGCTAAAGCGTTTCAGAACTGGGTTAAGAATGTGCCAGATAACCATACGATTATCTACTCAGACGGCTCTAAAGCCACTAATGGGGCTACGGGATTCGGCTTTGTTATCTACCGTGGAAACAAACGGATAGCCCAAGGGTGCGGCCGTCTCAGCATTGCAGAAGTATTTGATGGCGAGGCAGAGGGGTCGAGGGCAGGGCTCCAAAGGGCCCTTCCTACCTCCCAAGGCCAGCCTATACATATCTGTATTGATAACACCAGTGTCATCCAGGGGATACGCGGCAACATCCCAGACTCCTCACAAGCTGCCTTCTTAGAGATCCAGGCAGCAGCCAGGATATATACTATACAAACCCACTGGTCCCCAGGGCACCAAGGGATAAAAGGAAACGAGGAGGCTGACAGCTTAGCTAAGGAGGGCACAACGCTGCCAGTCCCCAGAGGCCTACTGCCGACCCTATCAGGGATCAAGCGGCTTGCTCAAGAACGCAAACAACACCAGCATAGAAAATGGTGGAAGAAAGAGGCACCCCCCTGTTATACCCAGCTGGGGCTTAAGGCCACCCTTGGCTGCCCTCCTGAACTAGCTCTACCAAGAGCTACCCTTCATCATCTCCTAGCAGCACGATCAGGCCACGGAGACTTCGAACAGTATCATCAACGCTTTAACCACACAGAAGCACTGCTTTCCTGCTCCTGCGGGGAGGCTAAAGAGGCAGACCACCTGGTCTACTGCCGTAAGACACTAGTGAGGAGGCAACGGTGGCCTATCCTCCACCCTTATAGTCGAAGGGAGCCTCTAGGACCTATAGGCTCTCTAGAGCGCTACTTTAAGGGGCTAATCACCGATTATGAAGGCTTCCAGGCCTTCCTTGACGTGACAGACTTCTTCCAGAAGATCTGCCCGCGTTACTAATAGATAGGACTTAACCTATCCTCTCAACAACAGACTACCTATAGTTATCAGGACAGCAGATTGCTATAACGGAACTAGGGCACCAGTGGGAACTAGGGACGGATAGAACACATAGTGGCCCTCGGGCAAGATCTGGAGGACGCTAGGAAGAGGCGTGTACTACACAGTAGATAGCTAGATCCTGCGGCCCTCCACGCCACATACCCTTCGGGAGGTCTGCCGCAAGGGCGGCTGCGCCCTTGCCGACATGGCGATAAAAAAAAAAAAAAAAAAAAAAAAAAAAAAAAGAAAAAGTGGTTGACAGAGGTCTTTATACCTTCTACCCAGCCAGCAGACCCCTCAGAGGTCAGATTGTTGATCTTGGATGGTCATGGAAGCCATGAGACTACTGCTTTCATGTATACATGCTTCAGAAACAAGATACACTTGCTGTTCTTGCCAGCACACACGTCACACGTCCTTCAGCCACTTGATCAGTCGGTTTTTGGGCCCCTCAAGGCAGCATACAAGAAGGAGCTTGGATTACTTGCTGAATGGGATGCTGGTACAGTTGTGGGCAAGAGAAATTTCGTTGTATGCTATGGCAAGGCGCGTAAGGCAGCCCTGACAAGCAAGAATATCATCAGTGGCTGGAAATGGACTGGTTTGTGGCCTATCAGTATGGCTAGACCCCTCATGAGCCCTCTGCTGCTTGAGAACACTTCAACCCCTGCCAAACCAGCTGGTCAGGTCTGCAAAGGGCTCTCTGATGGCAAAGCAAGCGAAAAATGGGCGGCAGATACATCAGCAGTCCCTTGGTCAACCCCCAAGAAGAGGGATGAGCTTCAGGATCAGTTCAGCCTGTTCAGCAAGCTGGATAACGATGAGCATACGCAACGCCTGCTTTTTCGGAAGGTTCAGAAGGGCTTTGATGAGAAGGCATACCAACTGGCAGTAGCCCAGCGAAAGATTGAGGCACTACAAGCAGAGGTTGATGCCAGTAGGGCCAGGAAACGCAAGAAGGTCAAAATGAGCCCAAATTCGAAGTTTGCTGATATAGAGGCTATTCGGAGGGCTCAAATCGAGGCGGGAGAACTTGAAAATAGTATAAATGAATCCAGCGAGTCTGAAAACCCTAGTGATAGCGAAAGTTGTATTGTAGTTGCATCAGAATAGCAGAAGTCCTAGGTTTAAGTTACTGCGTTGATATATGGGGGCATAATTTTTGGGTGTCCGGAATGAGGGGGTGTCCGGAAAGTGGGTGCGGGACGTTAAGACGTGGTGTATATCCTCCTTATGTTTTTCAAGTGTTGATGAGAAGATGAGGATGTTATTAAGATAGACTACTATGCAGATGTCGACGTATTTGCATAAGACTTAGTTAATCATATTTTGGAATGTTGCAGGGGCGTTGGTGAGGCTGAAAGGCATAACGAGGTACTCGAAATATCCTTTTTGGGTTCAGAAAGCAGTTTTCTATTCTTCTCCTTGCTTCATTCTGATTAGGTTATAGGCTCCTTTGAGGTTGAGGGCTGTAAACCAGTTGGCTCTATAAAGGAGTCGTCTCATCTTATCGATAAGCGGTAGTAGGTAGCAGTTCTTAATCGTTATTTCGTTTAGCATATAGTAGTTGACGCATAATTATAGTTTTCTGTTCTTTTTAGGTATGAATAGGATTAGGCTTCCTGCTGGTGATGTTGAGGGTCTGATATATCCCTTCTTAAGGTTTTCTTCAAGGTACTTATCTAGGGCTTCTATCTCTGTCTGGTTGAGTCTGTAGATTTTGTTGAAGTGTGGTTCTTTCCCTTTTTTGAGGGGTATTTTGTGGTTGAAACTGGTGTGTTCGGGCAGTCTGGTTTCTAATTCGGCTGCAAAGAGTTTCTCATAAACTCTGTATTCTTCTGGGATAGACAGAAGTAGATCGTTCTTCTGTTTAAGATCTATTGTTGTCAGTGGTTATAATACAGCTTCTTTTGCCTTGAGGTAACAGAGGTATCGTTTTGCTGTTCCTTATCGTATTGATTTATTTGAGGCCTGATTCTGACAGGGCTGCTCAGGGACTGAATTATCATAGTCCTAATAGAGTTAGCCTTTGCTCTAATCTATCTGTGGGTTGCTTGTTTATAGCCAGGGTAGTCCTAGCACTATGTCGTATATTCCTAGATTGGTAATATCGAATTAGATTCTTTCTTTTCGATCTAAGTAGCTCATCTTAAGGGGCGCAGTCTCATTATAGATGGTACCTCCTTCGTACTTGAATTCTTCTCCTTCTGCTGTGTGTAACTGATATGGTCGTTCTTTTCCTCCCTATCGTATTTCTAGCCTATTGATAGCTTGGGGGGTAATGAAGTTTGCTTCAGCTCTGCTGTTGATCAGCATAAGTGTTGTCTGCTGGTTAATAGTAACTTTGAGTTTGATATTACCCTTATATCCTTATAACATTTGCTGAATAGATCTTATGTTTGTTGCCTGTTATGATCTGTCGTTAGTAGGTGAGTCTAGTTTTTTGACTGCTCTGGTTGTCCTAGGTAGGTGATCTGCTTTCCTTCTCGTCATGCTTTTGCGAGGCTGTTTTTGCAGATTCTAACCTATAGGGGTCTAGGTCTGTTCTTTGCGATTCTCTAGGTTTATGCCTTTTCTTAGTAGTAAACTTAGTATTCGTCTTATTAGCATTCGTCCTATTTTATGCTGTTATTATATTGACATCTTATAGGGAACTGAGGACTAGGTCTGAAGACTGCAAGGTTGTCTTCAAATAGTACTATAGTCCATCTGATCATAATAGAGGTTAAGTAGATCTTATGGATAGGTTTGTCGTTATGTCTTCTGGGGTAGAACTAGTAGTTATGTTTTTCTCCTATATATTGCTTGCATTTGTCGTGGAAGCACTAGGGCCAAAAGATGGTTCAGTGAAGCTGGTGGTTGCTTCTCAGCGTGGGATGATCTTCTGTGTGTAGCTGAGGGGTGTAGCCTCAGTCTCATTAGGCTGCTGAGGTGCTATAGAAGTGGCGTTATTGCTTGTCTTAAAGCATATTGATTTTTTGGTATCTCAGAAGTTGCTTGATTCTTCCTTGCTGGTCTTTAGGTTCCTCTTTAGAGCTGGAGTCGTCCACACTAGGGGTGAACCCATAGGCGATCTCTGTCTGAGTGCGTTATCAGGTAATATTGCGAGGTTTATCTGAGTTATAGGAAGAGCTTTCTCCTTCTCCAAAAGTCTAGTTGTTAGTTATACTGAGGAGTTGTTATTCTATCAGAGGATTATATTGGTGTTCTGGTTCTTCTTCTGATTCTTGTTGTTGATATAGTCATACTTATCTGTCGTCTTCTTGCTGGATTAGCTCTATTTCCTTCTTGATTTGTTGTTCTTTGTAGTGGAGTTGCTGGCTAGTTATGCAGGGGGTGATTAGTTCTAGTTGCTGAGTTTGTAGCATCTCGTTAAGTTGTTCAACTGGTTTTCTAGCCACTTTGCTGTTGCTGGAATATATTATTGCCAGGGTCCTAGGGCGAGTGTCTAGGATGGTTATATTATAACCAGACTGTCCAGGGTTGCTATCCCTTAGGTAGTGTCCTGATATCTCTTTGTCTTTGAGGTGAATTTAGCAGTTGTCGTTATAGCATCTGGTCTATAATTAGGATGTATATAGGGCTTTTGTAATTATGTTGACTTATTGAGGTTGTTCTGCCACTAGTCTCTAGGGAAGCTTCTTAGGCTGCCTGCAGTCTTTAGCAATATAGCCTTACTTGTTGCAGTTGTAGCACTTAGGGTTCTAAGGTTTTTTGTTGTTAGGTTTGGTTATCATGCTGAGATCTATAGGTCTGCTGTGTTATCTATAGGCGGTGCTCTGGCGGGTGTTATTTTAGTTGTTGCAGGGTCTGTTGTCGTTCTGCTGGCTGTTAAACTTCTGTTGAGGCTGCTATTAGTACTTACGTCCTGAATTTAGGTTTTATTATTTCTCTCCTCGTTCCTTTCGTCGTTTATAGAGGTGGTTGTCAACCTTAATAGCATGTTTGACGTAGGCGAGGAAGCTAGGAGGTGTCTCCAGTTTAGCTATTTCATCTTTGACCTCATCCTTAAGTCCTTAATAAAAGGCAAAAACTTTGCTTTCGTCAGTTATGTGGAGTCTTACAGCTAATTGCCTAAACTCTGCGGCGTAGAGCGTAGCTGACTTAGTTTGTCGTAGGTGGGATAGGTCTCGCTCAGCCTGTCTTTGTTTATCAGGGTTAAGGAAGAGGGATTCTAGGGCCTTAATATAGCCTATGAAGCTGAAGAAGATGTCCTTAACTTCTTAGCTGTATTTTTCGACAGGGTTGTCAAGCTATTCCTATTGAAGGGGTTTGAACTAGGCAAGGGCTTATCCCTGAAGGAAGGTGGCTGCATATATAATACGTTTGGTGTCGTTCTGGAAGGTGTTTATATAGAAGGCTTAGTAGGTTTGAACTTATACCAGGTGTCCTTTAAGTTATCTTAGGGTCCTGTCAAAAGTGGAAGGCGTGTTAAGCTTGAGGCGTTCTCATCCTTCAACTGGGGCGGATATAACGTTAGCAGCAGCTCGGAGGGTGGCGACTTCTTTCTCCAGATCCTAGTTCTTGCGGGCTTGTTCCTGGAGTTCGCTAAGGGCTGCTGCGTTCTGGTTAAATATTTCGCGCATTGCCTTAAAGTTGCTGTTAGTCTTGTTGAGCTGGCGCTTAAGTTCTTCAGTATCATCCTTGCTGTCTGAGTCGTCCTTTATCTTCTGGTCTCCTAGTTCCTAGGCTAGGTTTTAGGTGGCTTGTCCTCCTGAAGTGGACGAGGATCCCAGGGTAGGTGACTTAACAGAGGTGTGGGAAGATATTGTCGTCTATTACTATTAGTAGGAATTAATAGTTAACTTACTAAACAGGAGTAATCAAAGTGTTACGGTCAGCTATCTGACAGTAGGGTCTGCTAATAGAAGCTGGGGATTAATACGTTCTAATAGTACACTAGGTTGTGGTTATAGGTTGTAGTTTATAGGCTGTAGTAGATTAGTTCTTTAGAGGCTAAGGTGATCAGTCTTAGACTTAATAAGTGATTCGCAGTGAAGGTAAGCTGAGAGTATCTGTGAGGATGAATACTAAGTTGATTGCTGAAGAGCTATAGAAGTCTGACCATAAGCCAGGCTCAGGGTCATACTATATATAAGTTCTGAACAGTACCTTTTACTCTATCACTGATCCCTTACTAGGTACCAGTGAGCGCTTATTAACTGTTAGTGAGCGCTCAGTAACTTCGACTGAGCGCTCAGTGATCCACACTGCCTGCTCAGTCTTATCTTATCATCACGTGACTTATATCATAGTTCTTCCGTCTCCGAGTGAGTCCCTGTTGTTCCCGTGATCCTGCAGTACAAATGTCCTGTCCTAGCCGCCCGACGCCCGAGTGGGTCGTTCAGCTGTTATCCTTGTTTACGGGTCGTAACACCATAGTACTGTCCAAGCATACGCACTCGAACTCAAACTTCCAAGCTTCCAATTTGAAGACAAACCCACTGGCTGCGCTGATCGTTTAGTCCAATCTGGCAATCATCAATCTGGCTTTCCAGATCTTATATGCCTCATAGATATCTTTGCAAAAATGCACGAGCACCTCGTCGCTGGACTTCATCATGGCATATCTGGGATGAAATCCTTTGATTACCCACGCCGTGTGACCCTGGTCATCCACCGGGGTTGCTTGTGCGTTTTTCGCGCCCCGTACACTCGAACAAAGTTGCCTTGCTAGTTGATTCATCGCTGGTTCCCAAACTTGGCGTCTCATTCTGTGGGCCCCATTGACTTCCTCTTTCCAGGCCCCTCTTAGCGTTGCACACTGACAGCAGACGACAAGCTTGGGTTGTAGAATCACCAGAACATCCTCGGCCAGCTTTTAGGCAGCCTTGACGGCCTTCCGTCGCCTGTCTCCATCCATTACTATCAAGCCTTCTTCACTGAAATAGCTACATAGATCTAGGATAGGCACTAACCTCAGCGGAAGATTAGACTGTTCGAGTAAGCGAGATACGTAGCCGACCGTATCACATCGTATTATCTCACCGTAGCTTTTCTAATGTGCATAGCTTGGGTTCTACAGTAATATGGGAGGTATATTTCGACAGCTATAGAGGAGACGGACGAAGTTGTGGCACCGGTTAGATTCTATTGCCAACTGGTCCCGACAT